TAAATAGTTATTTTTGTATCTAGTGCGCGAAATGCTACTTTGGTGATCGAGAATTGAATTTTTTAACGAGGCGAAGCCGAGTTAAAAAATTATTCGAGACCACCAAAGTAGTTCGCGCACGAGATGCAAACAATATTTTTTCTACAAACGTCAAAATCTATCTCTTAAAAATATTATAAATAAGTAAAATGCCTAATTTATTATAGAAAATAGTGTTGAGCTGGCTTAAAATGTCTTTCCTAATCAAATTTTCACTGTTACTATGGAAACAAAGTGGCTGTTGTTGACAACAATAATATATATTTTAAAGATTGAAATACAAAACTCTTATTAATTTACATGCAGTGTGCGAAATACTTCGCACCCTAGTGCGCGAAGTATTTCGCGCACGGTGTCATGGTAACGTTAGAATCCGAAAAAAAGTGTCACTTCGCATATTGTTGTCAATGCGCAAACCTTGTCATTTTTTGACGTTTGTAGAAAAAATATATTTTCACACCTACATCTCCACTAAAATATATTTTTTTCACATTAGCGCCTTTGGTAAAATATATATAAAAAAAATATATTACTGGTGCTTAATAGAATACATCCAAAATTTTATCACTATCCAAATTTTTTAAATTGTGTCTTGAGCGCATCAACAAAACTATCCCAAAATATATTTTCACATTGGTCAGGTATAATATCGAAATCGAGCAGGACACCAAAGAATTTATTTTCACAAAATACCTAAAATTTTATTAGTTTTATCAGACAAAATATCTAATAGATTTTCATACTAGCACTAGCAAATCCAGTAAAGTATCGAATATTTTACGCCTGTCTCATCCCGGATAATATTGAAAATTTTATTAATTATTGTGAAAATTGTCAAAGATTTTATTAGTGTACCTATCCTGTATAATTTTATCATCATCTGACAAATACCGAATAATTTATTTTCACCATGCACATTCAGCAAAATATTGAAAATTTGATTACTCACACACATCAAGCAAAATATAATAGTTTTATCAGTACATGCATTAAAGATTTTCTTATCCTACAAAATATAGAAAGTTTTGTCATTGGCGCATCCGGCAAAATATTGAAAAATTTATTTTTGCAATGAAATATCCAACAAAATATATAATTTTTTACCGGCACATCCTAAAAAATTGTATCACTGGCACATCAAGCAAAATGTGGTGTTTTGTTACCAGCACACCCAACAAAATATTGAAGAATTTATTTTCACAATGCAAAATATCCAATTTTAGTGCAGACTCCTCTGCCAAAATAGCAAAAATTTTATCACTGGCACATCAAGCTAAATATAGTGTTTTGTGATCACCGAAAATGACAAATGTTGAAACATTTATTTTTACAATAGCACATCCACAAAATATATTGTTATAAATTCTTGTGGGGTAGTAATTTTCTTACCTGTATGTATTTACTTATTCTGCTTCGCTTCTTCTTCTTTGTATGCTATTTTTCTTCTTTATTGTCTGGGCGCCTGCTCACATGAGCATATAGTTGTAATTTAATTCAATTTTTGTTTGTTATGTTTATAGAGAAACTTTGAGAAAAATCACTGGCTGGCACATCAAGCAAAATATGGTAAATTTTGTCATCAACGCATCCAACAAAGTATTGAAGAATTTATTTTCACAACACAAAAATATCAAAAATTGCACTGACTCATCCGGTATAACATTCAAAATTTTATTTTGGACAATACCTACTGAAAATTTTATTATTAGCACATCCTGCAAAATACAGTTTTATCATTGGGCATCCGGAAGAATATTTGAAAATTTATTTACGTACTGGCCTCTTTAGCAAAGTATTGAAATTTTATTTTCTCACTACTAGCATATTATGTAAAAATAAAGTTGTCAATACTTACCGTTTTTCAACTCCTGGTCAGTATGAATATGTTATACAGGGTGTCCCACCACGAACTCCATCGATGGATATTTGGGAAACAGCTCGAAGGATTTATTTGAAATTGTGATGGTGTGATGCGAACCGTGGAGCCTACCACACCACTTCCGGTTATACCGGAAGTCGATACTTTCTTATTTTAAATAGAACCTCCTGTATATTATTGAATTTTTGAAAAGAGCATCTATTTTTAAGTTGAAAACATATAGCACACTCCATACTTAGGATTGACCGTTTCCGAGATATTTTGATTTTTAAGCAAAAATTGACAGCTGCAGACTGTCAGCAAAATTTAGTTTCCCCGAAACATAGGTTTATTTTTTTGTGCAAATTTGGCATTTTGTAGAGGAATACCTAATTAATCGAATTTGACATGAAAATTTTCCAGTTTTTATACAGGGTGGTCAAAAAGAAAATATATCGAATATGAAGTTCAGAAAATGTGGAAAACTCGAAATTTTTAAATGGAAACCCCTAATTTTTGTAACGTATTCGCATTCTGCACTAAAATTAAGTGTAACATTGTTAAAGTTTCCCTATACCTAAACCCAGTGGTTTTCATTTTATTTACGAATAAACATTTCCCTTTTCTTAAAATGACGTTTCCATTTGTTTCGTATATTTTAGGTTGGCCGTGACAGGTAAATAACAATCAACATGACAACTGTCACAGGTTTTTAATTGTCAAATTTATTTAGTTCCTCTAATAGAATCCGGTGATATATGCTGTTTTATTTGGGACACTAACAAATAGTGTGTATAGTACTCCAGTAACAACGAAGGAAAATTGTATGCATAGAGTAAGGCAAGCATTTGCGCATCTATCACCGGATTTTATTAAAGCACCGACCCACAAGGAACTAATTCGAAGGTGTGAAAAATGTTTAAAAGCTGAGAAGTTGAAGGAAGACATTTTAAACATTTATTAAAATAAATGTGACAATTAAAAACCTGTGACAGTTGTCATGTTGATTGTCACGGCCAACCTAAAATGTGCAAAACAAATGGAAACATCATTTTAAGGGAAATGTTTATTCGTAAATAAATTAAAATCAGAGTTTAGGCATAGGGAAACTTTAACAAAGTTACACTTAATTTTAGTGCAGGAAGCGAATACGTTAAAAAAATTAGGGGCTACCATTTAAAAATTTCAAGTTTTCCACATTCTCTGATCATATTCGATAATTTTTTTTGACCACCCTGTATAAAAACTGGAACATTTCCATGTCAAATTCGATAAATTGGGTCTTCCTCTACAAAATGTCCAACTTGCACAAAAAATAAACCTGTTTTCGGGAAAACTAAATTTTGCTGTCTGCAGCTGTCAATTTTTGTTTAAAAATCAAAATATCTTGGAAACGGTCAATCCTAAGTATGGAGTGTGCTATAGGTTTTCAACTTAAAAATAGGTGCTCTTTCCAAAAATGCAATAATATACAGGGGTTCCATTTAAAATAAGAAAGTTAGTAAAAACTTCCGGTATAACCGGAATTATGATGACCTTGAAAATATTTTAGCTTGGTAGGCCTCACGGTCCGTATCACGCCATCACAATTTCAAAAAAATCCTTCGAGCGGTTTTCCAGATATCCATCGATGGAGTTCGTGGTGGGACACCCCGAATTTAAGTCTCAAGTGTGAAGGAATAATAAAAGATGAAGTTATTATATCAAAATTTTTAATAAATAAAAAAATCTACATAAAACGTTTAATACATAAAACATACGTATATGTAAACTGGTATATGAATAAATACCGATCCAAAAGAGAGGCACATACTCAACACATAATCTTGTACCAGAGACAACTTTCGTGATTCCTTAAACCAAACATAATGTTATACAGATCATTAAAAATAATAATGTAAGGTAAAATAGGTAAAATATAGTACTTCCTATATAACTTATGATTAGGCACTCAAATAATAATTGTATAAATATAGATCATTATATAATAATATAGGTATGTTGTAATAGGAAAACATGAACCGTTACTTCCATGTTTTAATACAAATATATGACAAATTCTACACTATACTAAACAATTTTATGCTTAAATATACATAAATAATATATACTTATTTTTTACTCTAATTGGGTACTTTCGGATTGCGTACCCAAAGATAATGCACACGAAATACAAATACTGAGAGTGGAGCAAATACATTGCAGTTAACCTACTATTAAAGCACTATAAATAGGATTGCAATGTAGAGTCAGTGCAGAAGACTGTCCGTCCGGACCCTGTGATATGTTCCTAACACTAAACTACCTTGCCAATATATAATATTGCGTAAATTGTAAATATACATAATTTTATGTAACAGATATTATTTTGGTATTCTCCATATCACTACGTTTTTCAGTAAAGAAACTTTTTTTTAACTAATCAACTAAAGGAAAAGTACAAAATTACTTTGGTCTGTATAAAATACTAAAAGTGGAAATACTCAGTACAATCAACTTATTTGCCTTGGTCACTGTTGCTTTCGGAATGATCAGAATTATTGTTAACCTTCGCCTCGGGCTTCTCCTTCTTTATAATCGTAATGTCGGGACAATTCGCCAACACCGAATTACTCCCAGACGTGGACGTGGTGCTCGCAGGTGTGGACACTAAGTTCTTAAAGACGTTTGTGTTATTTGAAGGAATATCTGGCAAGATGGAGTCGGCCTCGTCGTCCGATTCGGCCTCCTCGTACGACTCCCCAGCGTTTGACTGCCTACTGGAATTTACGTCTGGTGTGTCGAGTTGTGACATGGAAATTAAATAATTAGAGAGAGTCTGGGGTGTTACGTTGAGCTGCTCAGCCGCTCGAAATAGGGTTATTTCTTTTCTTTTTAATTTTAATAATACGTCTGTTGGGCCCTGTTCCGTCCAGAAGTCTCGAACTCTGTAAGAGAATAAAATTAGTAGAAAAGAAGAATACATAAGTACAACACATTATAATTATATCTTCATAAGTTAAGAAAATTAAGTTAACTGCTCTACACAGTGCAATTACACCACTCCTACAATTTTTTATACAAAAAAAAAAATACTTAAACCATGTCGATATTTAATTTCCTTTTTTTTTTGTTCCCAAAATTAAGCTTCTATATGACCCACACTTACAATTGTTTTAACAATGCGTGGAATTTTTTTTCAAAATATTTCAATACTACAAATTCAAATTTTTAATCTAATTAAAAATTTATTAATCACGCCTTTTTTTTACTCCGAATAAAAAAAATAACATGAATGATACCAATACTTAATCTTTGCAATTCTCTGATCTGTAAAAATTTTTAATCAAACATATTTGAACAATGAAACAGGTCAATGCAGTTTCTTAGGGAATGCCTGAGAACTATGAGATATGGGAAAGGTTGCATATACAGGGTGTGCCATTTAACGCTCCCGCTGCCAATATTCCCGAAATGAAGAATTTATTTTAGTTCCAAAAACTGGGGTTGTTAGATCCCGCGAATAGCTTCAAATTGCAGTTAGAATTGTTAGTTCAAATCTTTCTGTATAGATGGTGTGGTAATACTAAAAAACTTTTTGATTCCTATCGATAAATTTTGAGTAATTTAGTAGTTTCTTCTAATATTTACTTGTTTTCGAGATATGTCGACTTAAATATGCAATGTATGATGTAACAGGATCTATTATTTTATTTAAATCACACTGACACAAAATATTCTTTTAAAATATTGTTATAATGTCTTTTTTCGCACCGCATATTAACTAACAAACAATAAAGTATAAGAAAACAAATGATTTATGGTTCCAACAGGATGGAGAGCTCCCCCCGTATTAACACTATACCAATGCTGTGCAAGAATACTTAAATCAGAGGTTTCCGGGAAAGTGGTTAAGTACTAACGGAGTAATAAGGTGGCCGGCTTGTACACCAGATTTGACCCCATTGGATTTTTTCCTATGAGGTCATTTAAAAATCACTATATATCAGGACCCTATAGAAGACATGGCAGATTTGTATAATAAAATTTATGCAGTTACGGCGGCTTTAGATGAAGTATTCGAGGAACCTTACAACCCGTTTCCGGAACTAAAATAAATTTCTTTATTTTTAAGGTATTGGCTGCGGGAATGTTAAATGGCACACCCTGTATACACAATCTTTTTTTTTGTTTTCATAATCAATTGAACACATCACAGGTATTTTTTTCAATTTTCAGAAAATTAAATTTTTATTGTATAAAGTTATATCTATTTAAATTTTAATTTGACACTAACTATTTTTCAGAGGTTCTTCTGAAGAGCGATATATCCCTTGAAAGGTTAAGATGATGTGCCAACCAGCCCAGAAATTGTTAATTATAACTGCCACCAATAACCAGGTTGACACACAAACGAAATTTTTAAGATAATTATGTACTTTATGAATAAATATTTCTTTTTAAATTTTGAATTTTTCACAGTTTAAAATTAAATAACAATGAAACGAAACCATAGAAATATATTAAAGGCGTCTTTCAAATTAAAACAACAAACAACCAAGGAAAAGAAAAACTATTTATTACACTGATACTTTGCACTGAATGTAATGTTCTTCCAAATAATTGTTTTTCATTTTTATATATTGTTTGTTGCTTATTGCCTAATGCTGCGATTTGAAAGGCACCACACACATATGACATACATATTGTGATTTATTAGAACCCGGTATATTTTAAAAATAAACTAATTTACCTCGTAAAACACCACCTGTAAAATTTGAAAAAAGTACGAGTTTAATAATTCTAGTTTTTTGTACAGTAATTCCCAATGTTAAGTATTATTCACTATCATTTGTTTTGTAGTTAGTTTAGTTAAATGACTTGACAAGTATGTACAAACGTGTTATGATGCAAACATGTAACGATGGCAACTTTAAGTGCTTAAGATTTTTGTGACATAGCATTTACATACGGTGTTCTATAAAAAAATGTAAATGCATTTGTGAGAATGCATACAAATTTACTGATAGATATGTATCAATACCAGGAGTGGTTTTACAAACTATCCACAGACTTCATGATACAGTATCCCTTGTTAATCCATAGAAGCGTTACAGTACAATGTCATATTGCAGTTGATGAAGAAAATCCTTCTATGAGTACCAAGAAACTGCCTGTCGATTGTGATTATTGCAAATTATGGTGTACATTATTTTGGATGCAAATTATCGTACCCGATAAGTTCTAGAATCTGTGGATTTGCATATTGCAGATTTAATACCATTTTTTGAAGATTGCCCTTAAGTATCTTAACAGACAGTCTGATTCATACATGAAGAAATATATTAGCCATGAGGTTTGTGCCTTTTTAGATACTAAATATCCACAGCTTTGATATGTAACAAAAATGTGATAGCATCATAAACATTTTTTCGCCAATTAGAAATATGACTCAAATATACCAAACAAACTTTGAATATTGTCGATCTCTCACATACGTACTTTTTATTTTATTGCACTTGCAATTATATAGTATTTTTCAGTGGATCCGTCACCCGTTATTAGCATTGATATCATATAGTTAAAAGTGCCTATAAGAGAAAGCAAGATTTAAAATTAACTCTCCAATGGTGGGAGCAAATTTCAGTAAAGTATTAGTTTTTATTAGAATTAAAATAAGTAAAAGTATCTAGTTAAATATAACAATTTTAACACGTTCAATGCCAATGGACACTTATATGAGGGTTGCCTTATATATTTCAAGAATGAACTTTTTACAACTTTCGACATGGATTATCTCAACAACATAAGTTAAAGCTTGTAGACAGTCCGATCTACCGAGGATCTGACTTGACGGATGAAACTTCTCTGGGCGAGTGCCCGGGATTTGCATGTAGTAGAATGATGCTCGTGGGGAAACCTTATTTGGAACCCAAGGAACTGAGAGAACTGTCAGCAAGGAAGCTTTTGGACTTTGTCAAAAGGAAAAAACTACTCGCTGAATAGGACTAGTAGTGGGACGCAGAATAAGCCTAATTAGACCACGGTGCCATGGAACTTATTAGGACCAACCTCTAGGAAAGAAGAAGAATCTCAACAACAGTGATTCGATGAACTTAACTCGACTTGTGGCGATGAAACACCATCAAAACCCACTGTATATTGGTGGTATACAGAATTCAGTTGAAAACATTGATGCTATGTGTGAACTGATATACGATCATCATGTGACTTATCGTGAAATTGAGATATCCTTGAGCATTAGTGGGAGCAGCATACATTCAATATCGCATGAACATTCAGCGGCCAAAAAAATTTGTTTGTGTTGGATCCCACATAATTTGACAAACGCTCAAAAAAAGGCTCATGTCGATAGTGTAACGTCAGACGGTCAATTCTGAATGGTACACAACCATTTGCTTCGGAAGAATAAGGGAAACCAACCACTGAATATGCATCATTCTCCACCAGAACACTCAAACAAGAGACTTTTTGAGAATTGAANGCAAAAAACGAAATTTTTTTTACAATTTCAACACCCTGTATCTCGAAAATTGTGCATTTTAGAGGGTAAGTTAATACAAACTTTTTTTCAAATTTTTGGACGAGCTATCACATCCTGAAGTCCTGCGCATATATTATGAAACACCCTATATATTACCAGTTGTAAATAAAACTAATTTGTTTTTAAATAATTATTTTTGTCGTTTTATAAAATGTACTTAAAGAATAAATTAAAATACTAATCACATAAATTTTAAATATTTGGACGGTTATTAATAAAAAGTATTTGTTAGTAAATTTTGAAAGCATTGTGTTTAGATCAGTGCTAATGACCTCTGACATTGACCTAGTTTAGATAAAGTACATCAATGCACATGAAATGATATGACAACGGGGTCTTAAGCAGACAAAAAAGGAACGGAGAAACACCCAAAACATCATCACTTCATTATATTACATTTATTTTAGTTGATAGATCGATAAATAGATTTATAATATGGTAGGTAATTCTGCGACTTTATGTGTGAAATATTAGTTTTTATTGGAATTGAAATAAGTAAACGGATCTTGCGTAGAGTTTTTGTACCGGGTAGGAAAGTACCGATGGTCTACCTGAAGTTACGTGAGAGCGATAAAGTAAGCCATAGAAATCCATACGATAGAGAAGGATGGCTATAATGAAGGCGTCTCATAGTCACCGCCCGTTTCGCCCTTCCACAAATAAGATCCACTTCTTATTTGTGGAAGGGCGAAATGGGCGGTGACAATTAGACGCCTTCACTATACCCATCCTTGTCCATCACATGGATTTCTATGGCTTACTTTATCGCTCTCACATAACTTCAGATAGACCATCGGTACTTTCCTACCCGGTACAGCTCCATAGTTATTTATTTCAGTTTGAACGATATGGTGTTTGTGTCCTGTTGAAAAAAAAAAAGGTTAAAAAAAAATCAGTTTTCACAAGAGAATTTGAGAAAACAACTTATATGTTTCTAAAGGTGAAAGGAAGCATCCGTACAAGTATGACCCATTCAAAGTAACACAATGTATATTAACGAGTATATTATTGTAAAATCTAACATCAAATATGATGCACGTAGAGATTTAATATTAAAATATTTTCATTCGTTTCTTAATAATAATGTTTAGGATATACTATTATATCAAAGAATCCTAAATTCAAAAATGTTGATTGCAATTAATTTTATTATATTTTAATTATCATCAGAATTTAATAGAAACCGTATTTTTGTCTTACAAGCAGGACAGCGAAAAAATTTTGCTAAACCACTGACAAATTCACTTTTCAGAAGACATATTTACCAACAGAAGCTTTTAGAAGTTGATAACCCAACAGGAAATCAAAACAGTTGTACCTCATCCGACCCACTTTTACATTTCAATTGTCGAGTTCTAAAAGCTCTAATTTCCATTACAATAC